TGCGGATTCGAACCCGCGACCCTCAGATTGTGAGTCGAGCGCCTTATCCACCTGGCCATGCCGGGCCAAATCAATAGGAGTATGCATAAAACTTGTAGGGCTGGAAATATGAGGTAATATTTCTGTAGGTATGATTTTTCTATAATATAGTAAAAATTAGAATTTTATAGGAATTTAACATAAACTTAATGTAAGTAAATTTATTTAGATTTTTTGTAACGTCTTATATGTCAATGATGAAAGATTATAAAACACACACACACACATATGTGTGTGTTAGAAAATTGGACTTTATGTTAATTTTGTTGGGTTTGTTTGAGTTCTGGTTACCACACGGAATCGAGTCCCGGATTTTAGCATTGTAAGTTCGTAAACTTAACGTTGACCTACTGAGGGACCATTATGTTAATAAAGTAAACATGAAACAAAATTCTAGATTTCAACATTTTAGTTATTGGTTTATTTTGTAGGTAATTTGAGAGGTCAGTTCAAGCAGAATTTCTTAATATTTAAAGGTGTCAATTTCTCTCGTAAAGAATACGAGATACCGGTTTTGAAATGGTTAAATAGTTACCTAATCTTATAACGTAATTGCATAATAAGATAAAGTATAAAAAAAAGAATCATGAGAATAAACAGAGACATAAAGCATAAACCTGAAGTGTTTTGTACTTTGAGGTTGGAAAGCATATGTAATAAAGAAACAATTTGTGATAAGTGTTTTCTTAATTTGAATTTAATGAAAAAAGTATCTACATTTTACTTCTCAAACCCTGCCTGAAATAATGCATGATGACCTGAATTACGGTAATGTTACGTTTAGATGAGTTGAATAAAAAGTAAACCAAATTTTTAAAGCAAAAACTAAGTGTTCTTTGTTTAGAATAATTTCATCGACACTTTTCACCTAATAACGCCGTCGCTAATTTAACTCCCATAACAGTTTAAATGATTAATTAATTAAACACCAGATAATCAATATAAAAACAAATTCAGTCTGCTTTTTTTTAGAAACAATTTAACTGAAACTTTTCACCAAAGACTACGAACGCGCCCTCTATTTCTATTCTCTATTTATAAATAGTTTTTACATACTTTAAAAAAGGTTACAGGAATTTTACAAGTTATTATTACATTAAAAATTTTAAAACATTTGCACTCCGGTAGCTTAGATGTAAGCTTGAGGATTTATAACGTTAAAAATCGAGGTTAGATACCCACGTCAGACACAGCCCAGATAGCCCATTGTGTTTGTTTGTTTGAATTTATGCACAAAGCCACACAATAAGCTATCTGTGCTCTGGCCACCACGGGTATCGAAACCCGGTTTCTAGCGTTGTAAGTCCGCAGACATTCCGCTGTGCCATTGGGGGGCAGCCCATTGTGTCGCTTTACGCTAAAACAGTTTGTTTGTTTGTTTGGAATTAAGCACAAAGCTATACAATGGGCTATCTGTGCTCTGCCCACCACGGGTATCGAAACCCAGTTTCTAGCGTTGTAAGTCCGCAGACATACCGCTGTGCCACTGGGGGAGGGGGCAGCCCATTATGTCGCTTTACGCTAAAACAGAAACAAATATACAAATTAAAACATTTATATACTCCAAAATTTGTTTATAAAAACTAGATAGTTACAACTGATCGTTAGGTTAGAAAACACTTCAACATTCTCAATACAAATAGTTTAGAATAGAAACAAATAGAATTCTTTTTACAAATTATTTACTCTCGTATTTACAGCTTTTTTTTTAAATTAATGAAATTATTTTTTCTGTTATTTTACCAAACTTACAATGATAGAAAAATATTTTTGCGTTTTGTTAGAAATAACATATCAATCGCTTTTTTTATTAACGTTTTGATTTTAGGCTTAATAAAAATGGAGGTAATAGATTTTTACTACACATCTCTTTCTTTAGATTAATTGTTGTTTTTTTCAAGCGCCTAATTTTCTTTCAGACAGTTTTGCTTTATCCTTTTTAATCATTAAATGTTCTTAATACCAAAGTTGTTGTTTTTTGTGTGTACATTTTTCTAAATTATTTGTGTTCTCTGCTTCGGAAATGAATTTTTGCATTTGTATTCATGGCAAGGATATCTGTTGTCGTCCCTAATTTTGAAGTGCGGGGAAATATTTTTGGGTGTCGTACATATTTCGAACACAGCACGATAGTTCCAAAATCCAGATTGGTTTGTTTGTTGGATTATTTTAGAGCAAAGCCACATTGGGTTATATGCTGAGTCCACCGCGGGGAATCGAACCCCGGATTTTAGTGTTGTAAGACCCTAGACTTACCACTGTCTCATCGGGGGACCCGAAATCCAGATCTTTAACACAAAACCACACTCCTCTGAAACCTTTCTTGGATGAGTTTTGGGTCTTCATAAGTCTGTAATATATCAAATGTGAAATATTGTATTTGAAGATTTCCACTGTTTCCTTTGTAATTAAATATATCTATATATAAAACATTTCACACAAATAGGCCCAATATATATATATTTACACATCAATTGTACTTATTGCTGTTAATTGTTTCAGTTGTTTTTGTAGATTTTCCAAACTTTCAGTAATCTCTGTTCCTGAAATGAATTTTTGTATTTATACTAAAGCTACTAAGACTATCTGGTGCTGTTCCTAATTTTGAAGTACAGGTCAAAGAGAAAGCAATCAGTCAGCAGCAGCCTATCAACCAGTCAACAGTACCCTGCCACCCACCTTCCAAGCTAAGGAATTGACTGCCACTTTTATAACACATCTACAGCTTAAAGTGCGGGGAACATATTGTGGTACCACACAGATTAATATTAGGGAAACTTTACAGAAAACTAAAAAGAAAAACGAAATTTCTTAATATAAGTTACTTCAATTACATCATGTCTATTTTGGCACTCACCACGTGTCAAGGTAACATTTAATAACTAGAACATGCGTGTTAGCAAGCATGTGCGGTTATTTAAAACCGTTCATGTAGCTGAGCGCCTACTTTAACAACATATCATTAAATACAAGAAGACAAAATCATGACCTATCTCTCTAAAATATATCTTTATATATTATATACGTATATAGTTTACTTAATAAGTGTTATCTCTCAGAGTCCATCTTTATAATTTTCTTTTATCTTTCAATCTGTATCTCAATGATAAAATCAGTCCTTCCTAGCCTTCATACATCTATTATTGGCTTTCAGCAATAATTAAAACACGCCTACTATCCAGAACGATCTACTACTTATTAGGCTTGCTGTTAATACTAATTTTAAATGTAAGTAGGGTTCCTTCTCTTTACTTTGGTAATTAGTTGAGATAGCACTGTCGATAGGGGTCCGATTGGACGAAAATTTGACACCCAAGCAGGATGAAGGCGGTAACCTTCCAAGAACTTCGAGTCTTAACGACGCCTAAGGATCTTCATCATTTCTCGCTCATTAACGCTTATTAACAGTTTTTTTCTCCTCATAACACTTAAGTTATTTACAAACATTGAATATTTTATACTACTGCATTTAATGTAGGAGAATCGTTAATTAATCTCACGTTGATCCTGAAATTGACCTGCAATGAAGAATCCGCTAGATGGCAAAAGTTTTCTTTGCATTAATTTGTTGTTGTTGTTTACTTCTCTGTGAGAGAGAGAGAGAAAGGAAAATTGTTTGTTTGTAATTAAGCACAAAGCTACACAATGGGCTATCTGTGCTCTGCCCACCACGGGTATCGAAACCCGGATTCTAGCGTTGTAAGTCCGCAGACATACCGCTGTGCCACTGGGGGGGGGCGAGAAAGGAAAAAAGAGAAACATAATGATTTTCCTTATTTAAATCCAAACTGAAATTTCAAAAACAACAGAATTATATTTTCTTTTGTTTCAAACCGCTAAATATTTGTTATCAGTTTAGCAAGATGATATTTTCCGATCAAACAGCATAATAACTGGCATTTTAATTAATTTCTAAAACTTTAATATTTTTGGTGTATATTTGAGTCACGCACACACACCTTTATAATATTCATAAGTTAAATATAGTTTGAGACTAGTCAGTTTTCCTATTAAATGCGGTTTTCTTTACATTATAGTTGGATAAATTTTGCTTTGAAAACGTAATCTTTGATCGAGTAACAGAAATCATGAGCAGTCGAGAAGTTTAATCTTAGAATCTATGACTGAATAATTAGTCAATGTAACATGTCGATACCAACAGATTTTAATCTGTTTTAAAGACCACGTAATATAAGATTTTTATCGAACAGACTTTACGGGTTAACAACCTTGACGGAAATTTCCAGTATTGTGTACAGCGTAGTTCAGGGGAAGCTTTTTTTTTAGCCAATCAAGTACCCTATAATTACAAAGACAGATGGATTCAATTTGATAGAGTGAAAGAAAATATTATGGGGCTATAAGTAATGCACAGATTTATGGTGTTTCCATAAGCGATTTTGAGAAAATTACTTTATCAGGTTGGATACATCAATTTCTTTTTAATGCCTGGCATGGCCTAATACTTAGGGCACTAGACTCCCAAACTATTGGTCGCGGGTTCGAATCCTGTCCCGAAGATGCTTGCCCTTTAAGCCATGGGAGCATTATACGGGAATTATAAAAAACTAGAAGTTTAGTGGTGTGAAGTTCTGGTGTGAATCTATCACAGATGCCAATAAGTTTAACTGGGCGAGTCTAGTTTTACGATACTTCACACGTGTTTAATGTGCAACATTTTGGTATACTACTTGTCATCAAAGACTAAATGTGAAACTCTTGATATATATATACCATATAGAGCGAGGTAAGAAGCCTGCCATGGCCTGATGGTCAGGGTGTTGGATTCGCAATCTGCAAATCGCGAGTTCGACTTCTATTACCGAACATGCTAGCCTTTTAAGCTGTGAAGGAGTTATAATCTAATGGTCAATCCCATTTTACGTTGGAAAGTGGTAGCCCAAGAGTTGGCGGTGGTTGGTGTTGACTAGCTAGCTGTCTTCCCTCTAGTCTATCACTTCAAAGCTGAGGACGGCTAGCGCAGATAGACCTCGAGTGGCTTTGTGCGAAATAAAAAACAAACAAACAAACAACCTGTACACTGACGTCAAACCAAAGTCATTGAAAAAAAGAAAGAAAAAGAAAAGTAAAGTACAAATACATTGTTGGAATATAATTTATTTCAAGTTTGGTGAAAAATGTTTGATCCCTTTATACATTAATTCCATTCACAAACTGTTTCTAAAATATCCTGAAATCTTACAAATAAAAATGAAACAAATTTTATTCAACCAATGTTTATTTGAAAATCAAAAGCAGTTGTACGTCAGGCTGTGCTTTGAGTAAAAACGTGTAATTTCTCGTCACTAATCTTTAGATTATATCAATAATCAATCAATCATTATGGTAGAAATCATCAATTATCTTTTCTGAGCCCCTAGTGACATAGCAATGAACCTGAAGGCTTATAACGCTAAAATCCGGATTTAGAAACCCGTGTTGGGCACAGAACAGATAACCCATTGTATAGCTCTGTGCTTAAAAACAAACAAACAAACCTTTTACTGAAAAAATAGTTTTTTTTTTATAATTGCTTAGATCCTTATAAAATAATCAGTATTAAAAAAAAACGTACGATATTTTAGGTAACAAGAATCGGATTAATGTTTACGCAAGCATCAAGGCAAGGTATCAAGAGTGGGTGGGAAAAGAAAAATCCATTTTTTACAAGCAGCTCCATCCAGCCGCCAGTGGGTCAGCGGCATCTCTGCGGACTTATAAACGTTAAAAATCGGGTTAATATACATGTATATACGTGTTGGGCACAGCACAGATAGTCCATTGTGAAGTTCTGTGCTTAACTACAAACAAACAAAAAATTTCATCTATTCTGCAATAACCGCAGTACATTGTTGGGACAATTTGATAGCTTTGTGTCACGTGTTGCTGTTTTTTTTTACCTAAACATCTGTGCTTGTTTCATATTTTTTGCGCAAAAGTACAAAAACAAAGCGCTATCTGCGATTAGCCATCCCTAATTTTTGAACTGATAGACTGGAAGGAGGGCAACAAGCTAAACAACAGTACATATTGCTATTCTTATCTGGCAGATAGAGGGATCTGACTGTCACTCATATAGATATAAACAGTCCCAAAGGGGTGGAAAGCGTTTTTGCGGAAACGGGACGATAACCATGAAGCTAAATATGATATGCGGTCATTTTTCTGATAGTCGTCTTTAAAACCAACATTTCAATGTGTGTGTGTGTATGTGTACACCATGCTCATATGTTTTTTTTTTATAAAAACTTTAGATATTTAAGAATAATACGAACATTAATCTAAAGTTTAATAAAAAAAACTTTGCTTTTTCCTCTGTTTTTTTTTTTTATATTTGTTAGGTAGTAGGGAAGCAGCCTATATCTATGCGATCAGTTCAGCCGGCGTGACGTTTGCCGTGACGGACGCGTGCAGCCGAGGCACCATTAGGCAGTGCGGGTGTGATAAAACTAAAGAAAGCATCAGCTCCAGAGCAGACTGGAAGTGGGGTGGTTGCTCTGCCGATATTAGATACGGCATGAGAATCGCCCGGAAATTCATGAATTCGCGGGAAATTGAAAAAGATAGTCGTTCGCTGATGAATTTACATAATAACAAAGCTGGTCGAAAGGTAAGAACATGGAGGTCCGTAAAAGTTGCTGAGAAGTTACGCATGTAAATAAAAATATATATCTATATATTTCAATAAGTAATGTGTAAAATATAAAGAAAAATGCAAATATATATATATATATATCGTAAAAGATTTACTATTTTGTTTGTCGTTCAAAGCGTAGTGTAATAATGCATGTTATCATGATTATTAAATACAATACACAGAGTATACGAAAAAATACACTACTAAAATAAAAAGGCGCTGTGTATTGTATTCTATTATTACTTAACAACCCACTTATTATCATCTTTCATGACTTAAGCACTCTGTGTACTGAAATCCCACAAGAAGCGTTGTTTTTTCTTAATGAATCCGTTGTGTTTTAACTACATTTTACCCACTAGATGGTGCCAACGTACTAATATATTGAGAACAGAAAAAAAATGTTGTACTTTTTTCAGTGGAAAAAGAAATGACTGTGTAAAAACGTAACAAGGAAATCACTACCAAACACCCCGTATATATCAGTAGTAACATAATAATGATTGTATACAGTTTTATTAAAAACACATAATTTCATTGGTATGTGAAAGTCGAGCTCATCGATACATTTCTGTTTTCACATCATCTGAGCTTTATATAAAATTCAGTAACCTGTGAAAGACAAGTTCCTCAACGCATTTCTGTTTCCACATCATATGACTTAAAGTCTGAGCTTTATACAAAATACAGTAATCTGTGAACGTTGAGTTAAAAATATTTATTTCTGTTTCCATGTTAAAGTCTATGCTGCAATATTTGAATAAATTGATTAATATATACGTAATAATGATTAAAATGTCACTGTCAGGCTGTTTATACATTTGTTGAATTTCAAATAAATCTGATGTTTGTTTCAGAAACAGGTTAAATTACACAGGCCTGCGATTGTTTTATTGTCTTGAAATTTTTACATGTTCTACAGTAATTCCTGTACGCTGAATTCGAAAATGATATCCATTTTTCTCCATCACGTACAGATTTTTCACATATGTACCTTTACATAAGTGAATCGTTTTCATGGAAATTGGGTCACATCAAAATGTTGACAACCACTGGCTATAGATTGCTCTAGACCAATCACGACGTGAGAGTCTTATCGATCGTTCTAGAACTCAAACATAACAAACATAATTAAAAAAATGTTCATTGTGGTAAAAGAAATTATAATTTGATCTAAGTAAGAGTGTTTTTTCTTCTCGATTTGTAAAAAAAAAATCCTTACGTTATAGAAAAAAATTTAATATTATTTTCGAAATCTGCGTAGCTGAATTATGGAAAATCCGTTATTAATACAAAACCAACTTTTATGAAGCTAAAATTCGCAGGCCTGTGTTATTAATTTGATATCCGAACTAGTGGTGTCGGCTTCCTTTTACCTATACTTAACAGGTTACACAAGTAATCCTAAAACAATCATTCATAAAATACTTACAGACTTAAGACAGTAAAAATCCCCAAATCAGATATAAAGTGAAATATTTTAATTGTGTTTTATTTTACCCCTAGCTGTATCAATCTACATTTTTACAACACAGTTAGTGATTTGTTCATCAATGTGCTTAATCAGTTTTTTTTAATTGATTTTTTAATTGAATGTTAAGAGATGATCTGACATTCTGTCATAGAACATTGAAAATATTCATTTTACTGATTGTTTTAAATTCACATAGAATATATATATATACTGATATTTCCCTTATTTATGACATAATAAATGGATCATAAGATATATGTATATATAATATATACTTTTAAGTGTTTTATAATTCTTGTACATAGATCCAGAAACTTGAGAATAATAGTGGAAATAATTTTACAGATCTGAATAATGAATGCATATTATCTATTTTTTTTCAATAGTTTGTTTTTACTGTTTGATTATTAATTAACTTATTTATTAATAAACGAGTTATTGTTTGGCTTCAATATTGAGTTACTGTTTGGCTTCAATATTCATCCTAGTCTGATGCTCCAGGAACTTCAAGCATTGACACAAAATGAAATAAACATTCTCTAAATTCTTGAAGAAGTTGTAAATCTAAACAATGGCCTTAAATTTATTTTGTAGTTGTTAATCGCAGCTTTAGATCAATCTTTTTTAAGTGTTTTATTATCAGAGTTTGTAATATTTGTGAAAATTCTTCAGACACTTATGAGTTCAAAAAAGGTCCCTAATGTCTTGATTTTAATGGTTCTTTAATTGGAGTTTTCACCAAAGAATAATGTTCTTGGCAGCTCATCCACTGCAATTTAATTCTTCTAGTGATCGGCAGGGCCAAGAGAGTCAAGATAAAAGGGCTTAATTACCTTTCACTTGAAAAATAATTGGATAATTGGAGCTTAGTACTTTGGAATTTGATGACTTTTAGGGATAATTTTGTGGACGTCAAATAATAAAAAATATCATTAATAACTTGCCAAACAAAACAGGTTCTTCTTATTATGAACGTTTCCAAATGAAGGAAGAAAGCACAGGAACGGAACTTATCATGTATAAAGTAAAACTTTAAATTGAAAAAACGATCAGAACCACAGGAAGCTTATACTTTCCAAATTATGAATTTTCCTACCCAGGTGCTTTGAATTATCAATACGTCTTATTTGAAACATCAAACCTAGTGTTAAGACACATAAGCTTAACGTTTCAAGAAGTGCTAAAGTATCACTATATAGATATATATACTTTTAAAGATAATATCCTGTTTTCCTTCCCACACTTTTAATTCGTCCAATAAAGAGTGGCATTATCGAATAGTTTTAAATAAATTTTAAAGTTTATTAAAGTTATAATCCACTCGATTGTTGATAAAACCAAAACACGCTTGTTACCATATTCAACAATGTGTATTTATGAGCCAAGTTGGTCGTAATCAATAGTGGATTTCAATTCAATATTTATGCAGAGTTAATGGCGAAAAGATTCAGTTCTCAAAATAATATCTGAAAAAACCCAACAACAACAAAGAAACGAACACGGGACACTGGTCTGTCCATGGAATTACTAACCGACTTATGTGATTAGTTTCCAGTAATACTAGATGTCTATAGTGAATTCAAATTATGGAATAAAAACTAGTTGAAGTTCACATTATTAATCCTATTGAGCGAATGGAATAGATAAATATTTCATTCCGTTACCACAACGTGGTTGAAAGCGTTTCGTTTACCTAAAATATGGCTGAATAGATTGTACAATAATTTATGTTTGTTCTTCAAAGTTATGCATTTGTTTTCCTTCACCACATACAGATGTGAGCCACATTGTACCTGCAATTTCTTCTTTGTAAGTATAACATTTATTCTATCTCATGTATAACCTATATTCCATCTGACCTCCTGGACTGCGTGAGCACCCTTTTCTTTTATGTTAATCAAGTTGAGTAAATGGAGGTTATTATTTTCATTATATATTTCTGTTTTTTTCTCTCTCTTTTTTTTTTAGGCTGTCAAAAGAAACATGTTGACTGACTGTAAATGTCATGGCGTTTCAGGTTCTTGTACTATTCGAACTTGCTGGAAGACACTTTCCTCATTTACGCATATCGGAGACTTTTTAATGAAGAAGTATCATACAGCAAAAAAAGTATTTCCTTTCTGGAACCAGAAAGCAGGGTTATCCAAGCCCACCTATCTTCGTGTGCGCACATCTAAGCAACCAAATAACAAGCTAAGATCGAGAGATCTTGTGTATTTACAAACTTCTCCTAATTACTGTGAAGTGGACTTGTCACTCGGTTCACCTGGAACTAAAGGGCGGCGCTGCAACCAGACTTCCAATGGAATCGGTGGTTGTGCTTTAATGTGCTGCGGCCGAGGCTATAATACCCACCAGCTCAAACGAATCTGGCAGTGCAACTGCAAGTTTCAGTGGTGCTGTGACGTTATGTGCAATATGTGCAGCGAAAAACTAGAAGTCTATACATGCAAATAACATTTCGTAGAGACTGAAAAACAACAGAGTTAAAAAAAATTCTGAAAATAGCTGCGCAATAAACCAGGAGTGCTTTTGTGAAACCATTAAGTTCGTGTATATTTGTATTGTAGTATCTTGGTATATTAACTTACATGTGTTAGAGGTGACTACAACCTAAATCAACAAGAGGACTTGTAATTTGAAGCCCATGATTCAAAGTTCTGCAAACTATTTAAGAATTCTATCTGGAAAAGAGAAAAAGTTTAGAATTTTACATAAACTGTATATTCATCATTCATTTAACAGACAAACGCTTATGGTGTTATAATGAAAAATTAAAACTTTTACTGAAATTGATTTTCTCTAACCTACTCTACGTGAAATTATAGTATTTTTTATTTTAAAACTTGCCATAATTCATTGAGCCTTATCCCACATTTGTAAATGCCATTTCAATGATATTTATTGAAGATATTTGTTAATACATTTCACAAGCTTATTTAACACTGTGAAATACTGTACAATGAAAAACGTAAATTTTGTTTTTCAATACTGCTTATTTGTATTTATAACTAAAGAAAGAAACGCTATTAAATTCTTTATATGGTCGATAAGATAATAATTCATATATATATTCCAGGTACTTTAATTTCATTCATGTCGCGAAATATCTAAACTTAAGGTCTTACGGAAAATAGGTAACCCTAAATTCCATATATTTCATGAAATTATATTAAATTTATAGTCATTTCCGAAAACGACTAATTTCACAATTCACTTGCAACATGCACGAAAGCACAAGTATTACGCCAATTAGTAAACTCGAAACTGCTGCCATCTATTAAGCGTCTCTTTAGTTACATTTCTAATTTTCGTACAAAAAAATTAAAATAAACATGTATAGCAAACAATAACCTTTTCTGGTCTTCAAGGACTTTCAATGTTTTTATAAGAGTTCGATTTATTTTTGATAATAGTCTCATGAACAAGTCTGGTCTTTTGCAAAATGGAAATTATAAATATTTTCCTATGCATGCTTACTTTACTTTGTCTTTAAACTAAGAAATTAAGTTGTTGTTATTTTTGTGACATTTTCACTGAAACCTTAAGTATAATAGTTCGCTTAAAAAGTATATAAAAATTATGAATGAAAGAAAAATAAGTTAATAATAGTTGTAAATATGTGTGTAGAAAGACGAAAAATATTACTAACCCGATATTACGGGGTTTGATAATCTTAACAGATGCGTTCTACATTTGTAATTAAAGTTTTCAGCTGTGTGCCTACATTTTGTTTTGTTT